GATAGTCCTTGCACTATGCTCAAACATTGTTACGTAGTTGAGTAGTCAATCAGTAGTTTTGATGATGGCAATTTTTTTAGTGGTAATCACAATTTAAGGCTTTGAAATTTTGGAGGGAAAGTTGTTAATGTTCACTCCACAATGTAATCAGTCACTCAAGAATCACCTTGATATTGTTATTAGAGTATTGCTGTATAAATTCACTCATTATCATTGTATTAATATTATGATAGGAGAGATATTTCAAGGTCATCCTCATCAATAAGTGTCTTTTGCATATTATCTACGAAAAAACTAGCTGTTTAAAATCTGTAAATCATCAAATAAAAAGGAAGAAAATGAGCGCCAACAAACACAAAACCAAGGAGGAACGAATGGAAATTGTCAATGAATATCTTCAACAACAAAAGGAGAAGGAAGCAGTTAAGGCCCAAAGTGATTTATCGTTTTCGATATGGAAGGTAGGTTGTAGTGGTTAACCTCAATTTTCATAAATGATGTGATGATAAAACCTTGATGATGATGGAAATTAATTGCATGTAGAGAATCAATCCAGGATATGTTGTTCCAACAGAAATTTATAAATCAACAACAAAGGATACTTTTGTGTAAGTAGTCAATTGTTCGGAAAAGCTGAAAAACTTGATAGTCCTCAATATTCGGATCCAATCGATAAGTCCTACAATAGAATGTTGGACAAGGCAGCTCAGTGGAATGAAGAAGATTTAAAGACTTTTGGTAAATTAACTTCGGCAACACCAAAGGCTGCCAGTGAGAAGAAGCCATGGAAATTCTAAATTATTCCAACTCTTTATACTAGGAATCATCATGTTGATGATTGTGAATCCGATGGATTGAGTACACAAGATGATGGAGTAACGAACGTTATCTCATGTGCCATTTACTTGTAAATCAAAATTAATTATTGTACTATTAATAAACTGTAGAAAAATTAAATGTTATTATTTCCAATAGTATCACACATGATGCTCCTCCAAAATTGTTGTGATGATGAAGAAGATATCTTGGTGAAGGGACACAAAACTGTCAATTCTTTTATTCTGTCAAAAATGCCTTGCCTAAAAACTTTATTGTAAACTACACTACCTCCAAGTCATCCAAAAATTTTAAAAGTTTGTTGAAAAAAAAATCGTAAAATGGTATGTATCAGTCACCTCATCCTTTTTTCTTACACCACCTTCATTTAATTTTCATGTTGAATATCTCCCAAACACCACAATTATCAACAATCTTATTTCATCATCAAAATTATAGCCAAAGCAAATCTTGAACGTTAAGGAATTCCTTGCTCTTGCTGTTGCCGCTAAGGAAAAGGGAAGCATCACCCTCTACAAGTCAAAGGACAGAAAGAACAGATCATACAAGTTCAAGCTTAGAACCAGACAATACCTTTACACTTTGAAGATGAAGAACAAGGTTAAGGCTCAACAATTGGAAAAGGCTCTCCCACCAACTTTGAAGAAGTCTTACATTAACCACCCAGAAAAGAAGGAAACCAAGAAGCAATAAATTTGTTCTCTAAATCTTAAAATTAAAACAAGTTGAGAATATTTTGTTGTTAATTATCAAAGCGCAATAGTATCATTGTCTAAAGATATCAAGCAAGGATATTTATCTTCTACTTTTCAAAATAATTCACTCTTGTTGTTTTGGAAAATACTTTAATACACTCGAATTTTAATGGAAAAGGATCAAGAATCATCTTGAAGATTTATTTGCCTAGATTCAAAGTATTACATTATTTTGTTTTGGTTGTGATAGGAATTGAGAAGGGAAGATTGGTGTGAAAACAAATGGAGGTAATAGGTGTTCAAAATCATGTCTAAATCACATCTCGAAAAAGTCGATCATCTCTTTGGATTTCTCAACACTAAAATTACAGAATCTCCTCTCAAAAACAACTTGTTTGTGAAACGTGTCTTGTTGATTGGCTTTGACTTTTTTCTTCCCTTTCCACTTTTTGGTTGTTCCGTCCACATTTCCTGTACATTTTCCAATACCATATTACAGTGTCTATCAAAGGCTTTAACTCTAGCCAACAATTTTCTATTATTTCTACAACTAATTAAAATTTGTGTTTGTTCACGAACACTTTCCAACAATAACGAGAGTGGTCCCTTTTCAAACAGTAATTCCTCTTCCTTTTCCAATTCCTCAGCAGTCTTTTGTGGAGCTTCTGTGGTGGCTGCTACTGTTTGCGACATGATAAATTATTGTTGATGATGAATAATTGATTATTTTTTGATGATTGGAAATTTTTATTAATATTTTTATTTGAAGCTTGTTGGGAGATGAAAATACAACACACTGATTGTGGATGAACAAAGAAAATTACATTGAACAAGTAGTAAATTAAATGTTTTAGCACTCCTAGTAAGAATCAATGATGAAATATTAAGAACAAAGAAAGTTGTTAGTGATGTTAATGATGTGAAGTATTTGAAAGGAATTAAAAAAGATTGAAAAAAATGATGATTAACGATAATGAAGAGGAGGCTTTTAAGGATGATTTTCCTCCACCACCAGCATTCTATAGATTGTATCATCCAACAAAGAGTGAATATATTCCTCCAGAACCACCTAAACCAGTTCCTAGAGGAGAAACATACATATCATTCGGAGAAACATTAACATCTTTTGTAAGTTTTTGCTCCTCCTGATGTAAATAATATTTAACAATATATGATGGTGTTGTTTGGTCATGTTGTGGATCAAAATATTCATCAAATTAAAATTATTATTGGAATGGAATTAATATTTTGTTTAAATTATTATCATCATCAAATTGGATCAATTTATTATTGTTTATCGATAATATTTGGATTGAATTATTTACCATCACTACTATTTATTAAATAGAATGAATTTAATCCAATTAAAACAGGATTTGAAACTGTTAAAAAGCTTTACGGTGATAAACCACTAGATAGTATAGATCATGTTGCGGAATTGAAAAAACTAAATAGATCTTTATTGTACAATTATTTGGAATTGTTGGATTTGCTGATTGAACATCCAAC